ATTTCACTCTTGCAATTACTTTAATTATCTCATTGAATTTCAACACTGAAAGCAAAAGAGGAAATGTTTGCTCTGAGTCACAAAAACAACGTTTCGTCCTTTTCCTTGGAAGTGAAAATTCAGAGAACCACACTAGACCCAAATGACGGCCTTGTTCCTGCTATCGACCTTGCCCGATGACCAGGCACAACGGCAACCCATACTGTCACACAATCACAGCCACACTCACGTTCCAAAATGCCAGAAACCAACTCGAGGTGGCATTCCATGTCAGTTTCTCGAAGACGGAGACTGACGCCGCACTGCAGATCGGAGGCAAATCCTGGGCGAACCCCAAAGCTCCTGAAGAGCGAGACACCTACACGGCTCATCTCGAGGATCCACGGTGAATCTCGTGAATCTTGCTCGCTGCCCCCTTATCTCCCATCCTTATCATCCTCACCACCGCCTTCTTTTTTTTTTTTTTTTATCACTTACTTATGTTGATAGACAGGAAGAGCTTATCTCTGAGAGGTCTACAGACACTTTCCTAGTAAAAGCTGGGAAGCATTATCTTTCCTGCTTTCCTCAGAATTAAGGAGGGAACCTGGAATTATCAACCAGGCCTTGAGGGATACCGTAAGTGACATTCGGACTGGATATGGTGGTTGAATCAGAGGATGCTGCTGACCAGCTGCTGACCTTGGCCCTGCCCCCCTTTCTTTATCTGGGAGACTCTTAGGGGGCTGTCAGGAGATCAAATGAGAAGGCGTCTGGTGCCTGCGCCTAGCAAGCACTCACTAAGTGTTAGATGTTGACAATGTTACTGTGATGTGGGTGGTATCACCTCCAGCAGCACACGGGCTAATGTGTGCTGAGGCCAGTGTGCCAAGTATTGCTCTAAGCTTTTGATACATGTTAATTAATTTAATCCTCTTAACAACCCTATGATGCAGACACTACTATTACCCCATGTGAGAGATGAGAAAACTGAAGCACAGAGAGGTGAAGTCACTAAACAAATGAGGGAGGCTTGGATGACCTTAGGGCGCAGATGGGGACCCAGGAACAGAGGGGTGGTACGTCACACTCTAAACCCCAGCTGCAAAGAATCAACCTGGAGTGCCCAGTGGTAAGGTCACCTCCCAGAAATATAAAACCTTAGAGTTAAAATAAATCCATATATAATTCCATCTCCTAATTGCATAGGTTAAAAAAAATGGTGCTGCTGTCCAGCGCGGAAGAGCAACATGCTCAAGGCCACGAAGAGCGTAGGTCCCCTGGCTGAACAGGTGCTAGTGTTTTCCCTGGGACTCAGATCCTTCCTGAGACCATGGGCAGAATGTGAAAGGTCCCCAAAGTCTCTAAAATTGAATAAACAATTACATGAGTAAAGCAGTTTTCTGGGGAAAGAATCTATACTAATCATAACAATTATAATAATCCTGTTAAAAATAGCAAATAATATTTATGGACTTGTTACTCCGTCCCAGGCCCACTTGAAATACTTCACACGTATGAACTTATTTGGACCCCAGAAGGAGGAGGGTGCTGCTATTATCCCCATTTTGCAGGTGAGGAAACTGAGGCCCAGTGAAGATAAATAATGCCCAAGCTTGCCTGGCTGGTAAGTGCTAGAGCTTGCTAGAGCTGGCCTGTGTTAGAACCTCTGGTTAGTATCTTCCCTGATCTGGCATTACTAGTATTACCAGAACAAACTGCTCTGGGTAATATGTATGTTTACGATAATAAGATTTCCAAACGATAACTGAGAGGTTCCTTAATTTCAAGGCATGTAAGACCCTATAAAGTCCCAATATATCCAAAGAACCTGGGCAGCCCCTGTGATTATGGTAACTGGCCTAGATCCAGCTACTTCTTTACGGACATGGCTTTGGGAGTCAACGCAAGTTTGTTTTTAGGTTATTTCAACAATTAACTTTCCTCCTTTCTCAAGGAAATACCTCTTCCCTTTGCCCCACAAACCCTGGCAAGGAGAGAGGCTCTGGCTCTGAATTTGGCTTCGGGATTAAATTCCCAGCTGGACAGAACTGGTGCAACCCGGCTGCTCAAAGAACACCACTGCGGCGGAACAAAACCCAGAGGTGGGGAGACGTTCCTGGTGCCAGGAGCCCATGATTAAGCTGTGACTGGGGCTGATTTATTGCTCTGGGATTAGATCCTGTGTAAGGTGTTCTGCAAAGAGCTGAGCTCCGGCCAAGTTAGCAGGACTGCTTACCTCACCACTCTTGACCATATAGGGACATCAAAGCTGCTCTACGACTGATGGGTACAGGGATATGTGGGGAAAGGGAGGACTCACATCTACTGAGCACTTGCTTCATGCCAGCCCTGGGACAGGCATTTTATAATATGATCACATTCGTTCTTCCCAATGATCCAGGGCGGGCACTATCCTTATTCCTGTTTTACGGACAAGAATATTGTAGCTTAGAAACAGGAGGCCACCTGCCCAAGGTCAAACAGCAGATGGGTGTCAGAAGTGGGATTTGAACCCAGGTCACTTGGGCCCATGGACAAGGTGTCACAAGAGCCTGAGGCGGGTGTCAGGGCCATGAGATGTTAAAATCACACATTCAAGGCCCTTAGCAATTGTCTATTCAATCTCTTCTTGAAAATGAGGTCTAAGGCCCAGAGAGGGCAAGTGACTTGCTAAGGCCACACAGTGAATCAGGGCTACAGCTGGGACTCTTTGTCTAGTGCTCCTTCCACATCACTGCACAATCTCTTAATAAGGGGAGAAGGGGACTCTGTTATCTGCAAAGCACACTTAAGGGGAAATCCTCTGTCCCTGCCCAGGGTCGCGGGGCTCTCTTACTCAGATTCCTCCTCTTTGGTTTCCTTCAGGCTCTCAAGGAGTGTCTCTTCGAGGAAATCCAGCTCCTCCAAGGGCACCTGGAGCAGGGAGTTCATGTGGCAAATGAGGACTCTGGCCCGGGCATCATAGCACCCTCAAAAGAGAGAAACAGCACAGGCAACGGATCAGTTTAGGTTTTACGCACAGAGATGCTAACAGCAGCGAAACTGCCAAAACCCCAGCCCTGGAAACATCCAACACGCACGACCCCGAGAGAGCCAGTCGATGGAACAATGGCACGGCTTCCTGGAAGAATTCTACACAACGACTAAAAATGTTCATCGAAAGTAAGCAGGTATTTCTCACCAGTCAACTTAGGAAAGAGGAGTTTTTCAAATCCCAAAGCTGTGACGGAGATGATACAAACGGGGGCTCAAAGACATCGCTGGTGGGAGTGGGCGCTGGTACGGACTTGCTGGAGGGCAATTTGATAACACGGAAGGAAGACTTTTTAAAAAAATGCATATCCCCTTTGCCCCAGGAATTCTGTTTCTGGAATTCTAATCTTAAGAAAACAACCTGAAATGTAGACAATACTTATTAAGATACCACTGCTGCATTTATAACACGAAATTGGAAACAATCTAGAGATTTCCAACACCAGGGACTTAGTTAAGTCAACCATGTACATCCATCCAGTGGAAAACTATGGGGCCATAAAAAATGATTCCTAAGAAAATTGTAATGGCTTTTGAAAATAAATGGTATGCAATGAAACAAATTTTAAAAGCGGATAGAAGACTGACTTGATAATGTGCCATAGGGTCTCAACTAAGAGACGAAACACTGCACAGGAAAAAAAAAAGTGAAGGTAATATGTTACATATGATTTTTTTTTTTGAGACAGAGTCGTACTCTGTCACCCCAGCTAGAGTGCAATGGTATCATCATAGCTCACTGCAACCTCAAACTCCTGGGCTCAAGTGATCCTCCTGCCTCAGCCTCCCGAGTAGCTGGGACTACAGGTATGTGCCACCACGCCCAGCTAATTTTTCTATTTTTTGTAGTGACAGTATCTTGCTCTTGCTCAGGCTGGTCTCAAACTCCTGTCCTCAAACAATCTTCCTGGGATTTCTGTCTTCAGGCAGCACAGCAATGGACGGGATCCTGTGCAAAGTGTCCCTACTCTACCAAGCCTAAGCTGTCAACCCCCATCCCATCTGGCAGATAGTGCCTCCCTGTGTGGCATAAAGCAGCGGTCCCCAACCTTTTTGGCACCAGGGACCAGTTTCATGGAATACAATTTTTCCATGGACCGGGGGTCGGGCGGGAGGATGGTTTCAGGATGATTCAAGGACGTTACATTTATTGTGCAGTCAAACCTCTCTGCTAATGACAATCTGTATTGCAGCCGCTCCCCAGTGCTAGCATCACCGCCTCAGCTCCACCTCAGATATTAGGCATTAGATTCTCATAAGGAGCGTGCAACCTAGATCCCGTGCATGCGCAGTTTACAGCAGGGTTTGTGCTTCTTGAGAATCTAATGCTGCCGCTGATCTGACAGGAGGCGGAGCTTATGCAGTGATGCGAGTGATAGACACAGACGAAGCGGCTATAAATACAGACGAAGCTTTGCTAACCCTCCGCTCACCTCCTGCTGTGCGGCCTAGTTCCTAACAGGCCATGGACTGGTACCAGTCCGAGGCTTGGGGGTTGGGGTCTCCAGGCGTAAAGGACACTTGTGGGTCTCCTCTTGGGTGACCTCAGAACATGACACCACCCAGCCGCTCAAACCGGGACTGGGAACCCCCACAATCCTCCCCCAGCCCCCTTCATGTGCAACGTCTCCAAGTCTGTCCGATGCTACTGAACAACATCTCATTGTGTCCATTTCACTTCTTCCATCCCCACAGCTCCCGCCTGGCTGAGGCCCTCGGCGTGTCTTCAATGCCTACGACAGGGAAACCTTCCCTGGTCACACCTCTGCCCACAGAACCAGCTGTGCCTGGCCTGGCATGTGGGGATCACCCCTCACCAGCTCCCCCTTGTTCAAGACCCTCCCTTGGCCCGAGCATGCGGGCTGGCTCGCACCCGTGTGCCTCTAACTCGGCGGGGCCCCCGGGGATGCCCACTCCACCTGCCCACAAAGGAGGTCTGTGCCTTCCAGTGGCTAAGAGGGCGGCTCTCGAACCGGACAGTCTTGGTTTTAATCCTCTCTCTGCTGTTTTCTACCTATGGGGCCTTGGATCACTTTAACCTCCCAACCCCGTGTTTCCTGAGATGCTGAGTATAAATCACTTACGACAGTGCTTTACATGAGGTGAGCCCTATTAGTTTCCTGTTGCTGCTGCAGCAGTTACCATACTTAGTGGTTTAAGACAAGACAGATTTATCATCTCACAGTCTAGAGGCCAGATATCCTAACAGCAAGGTGTTGGCAAGGCTGTTTTCCTTATGCAAGCCCTAGGAGAAACTCTGTCTTCTTGTCTTTTCCAGCTTCCAGAGGGTGCCTGGGTTCCTTGGCTTGTGCCCCTCCCTCCCATCACCCAACCTCTGCTCCTGTGGTCACATCTACTCTTAGATCCTTCTGTCTCCCTCTTACAAAGGCCTGTGAATAAATACACTGGGCCTATCTGGATAGTTCAGCACAAACCCCCCATCTCAAGATGCTTAAGTTAATCACATCTGCAAAGACCCTTCTGCCACGTAGGGTAATGTATTCCCAGGTTCCGGGGATTAGGACATGGGCATTTTGGGGGAGCTGTTATTCTATCACTTAAGCCTTGAACTTTTATTTTCCTCCAAGATGTGGCTCAGTCATCACCTCTCTGAACCCTCTCTGCATCGCCGCTTCCTTCGGAGGTCTGTGGTCGCTTACACAGGCCGCTGTCCCGGCATCTCCCCCAGGTGGCTGTACCTGTCTGCATCCCACTCCACTGCAAGCTGACTCATCCCTTTGTCCAACCCCAGCACCTACCTGGGGTGTGATACATAAGAAGAGCTCAAAAAATGTTTATTTAATGAATGAACAAATGAATCAACTCTTCTGATTTTTAGGTCAAATTCTTTATGATTCAAGTTTGTGCTTCCACATAGAATCTTTCTGACAAAGAGAGAAAGTCACAAGGACTTGGCATTCAGCTACTCTGCACCCACCTTCCTTGTGTGTACGGCCCCTGTGAAGACATGAGTTGTTTAAAATGCTAATTCCCAAATCCAGCTGCTCTTCAGCATTATCTGGAGAAACCTGCCAACAGTAAGGTTTCCTGAGTCCTGGTATATGGGACCCTCCTTTCCTCGGCCTCAGGTTTCCATGTCAAAGACTGTTTAACATGATGTAGCCTCTGCAGTCTTGAAGTCTGAGGTTTCAGCTTCTACAAAAGAAATCAGTTCCTTCCTTGGCCCAGGTCCTTAGAGTGAGCCGTGGTCTCATGGGGCTGCCAGCACGGGCTCAGCTGCCCTGATGCCACCCTGGATGACAAACTGTCTACGTGCTAGGGAACAGACCTGCGTGTTGTGTTTCGGGGTTACTGGGTCAATTAAAGCTTCCTTGTAGGAGCAAAGACTATTTCGCCCAGGTGATAATCGGGGCTGTGGAAACCAAGGCTTGGCGTGATGATTAATTGGTGGCAATTATAATTAGTTCCTAATGCATACTCCACTGGTCAAGGCTGTGGTGATTCAGCTTCTAGAATGCAGGCTGCCAGGTGCATGGGTGATTAATATCCCTGTGGTAATCTCGGGAATGGGGCTCTCAACCTCGGTCTCATGTAAGGGTCATTGCAAGGACTTTGGTGGCCAGGCTGCTGAGTTTGGACCTATTTAAGGCAGGTGGCTTACGGTGTGTTCCTTCTATTTAAAGTGCGAATCTTCTCTCCTAGAGGGTGGTGGGGTAGGGGCATAAGTCCTGGGCTACCCAGGATACTGGTGTTCTCTGGCCTGGGCTCTACTGCCAATTGGCCTGGATGGTCACATCATTCCTTGAGGGCCTGCCTATCCTGTCTCAATAAAAGGCACCCCATCCACCCTGGCACTCAGACCAAAGGCCTGGGCGTCATTTTTGATTTTGCTCTTTCCTCTGTCCCAACATCCGATCCACCAGCCAATGCTGACAGCTGCACCTCCAAAATATTATATCCTGGGTCTGACATTCGCTCCATCTCCACTGCCACTGTGCCAGCCACTGCTCTCCAGCCACCAGCCACATCATTGGTCTCTCCTCGTTCCCTCCGGCCTCTGAACTTCATTTGCCACACAGCAGCCAGAGAGATTCTTTAAAGTCATCAATCTGATCACGTTCTCTCCTAGCTTAAAAGTCTGCAACGGCTCCCCAATGTACTCTGAATAAAATCCACATTTCTTCCTGTGGCCTGCGAGGCTGTACCTCATCTGGCCCCTTCCTGTCACCCTCTCCCACCTCACCTTCTACCTGTCCCTGCTTCATGCACCAGCATCTGTCCTGCCAAGAAGCCAAGCTGATGGCTGCCTCAGGGCCTTTGCGCTTGCTGTTCTTGGTATCTGGGAAGCTCGTCCCCCAGAACTCTGCTCAGCTGGCGCCTTTTTAGTTAAGTCTCACCTTAAATATCATCTCCTTAGAGAAGCCAGCGGCTCCTGAATTAGAGCTGCCCACCCCCCAGTCATCCTGTTTCCGCTGCCCTGATTCCTGCCATTGTTGTATCTATGTATAGGTTAACCGTCTGGCTCTCTCCATCAGCGTGACAGTCCCACAAGGGCAGGAGCCTTTGCCTTGTTCCCTGCTGTTCTCCCAGTGCCCAGGACAATGCCTGGAGGTTAGCAGGTGCCCAATTAAAATGTGTTGACTCATTAACTGACCGAAGTTCTCCCTCACCTGCCCCAGGCAGCACAAAAGACCTCATCCTGCTCCCACCCCCACCTGAGACTGATGCTCCCTTTCCGGGACCCTCCAACTCCTGCTCCCCCAGTGGACAAGGGGAAGAAAGCGGATTAACTGGTTAAAGCCTCTCTCCTCCCCTGGGTGGGGTCTCCTCTTACAGTGGTGAGTTATCCTTAAATGTCAGAGTCTTGACTGTGCCTGGAACACTCTCTTCTACGTCCGCTCATCACTCAGTTCCTGCCTCAAATGTCGCCTCCCTGGAGAAGCCCTCCCTAGCCCCCTCCCCTACTGCTTCCCAT